AATTGCAGGTTGTTGTGAGGGATTTTTGGGCAATTGGTTTTTTTTTTTTTGGTTATATGATTGTTTGCCAAGAGATTATCCAAATTGCAGGGATTTTTGAGCAATTGAACTCAGTGAATCGAGTTGGGTTCGATGGAACGTATTTGTTGAGTTCTGTTCTGTCGAACTTCAATCTTGAAAATAGAACGGGTTCTGTTCTATCGAACTTCAATTTTGAAAATGGAAAGAACACCGTTTATGAAAAGAATAGAAACAGTAACAGACGGGGAAAGAAGCAATTCTTAGTAGTGATGTGGGACCCATTTGGATATATTTGGTGCGTTTTCAGCCAGGTAACATGTGACATGACAAAAGTTTTATACAAATCATCACATTTTTAAGTTTTGCTCTCAACATCATAAAAAAAATATAAAAAATGCCACCTAAGTAGGGTTAACGGCTCAAACTAACAGAAGGACTAACGAAGTGCATTTCGTATAGTTGAGGGATCAAAAAAGTACAAAAAATTGTTGAGGGACCAAAAATGTGCAACTCACTAAAGTTGAGGGACCAAATTTAGCATTTAACCTAATTTTTATATAATATTATATTGTATATAATTTCTAAAAAAATTAATTATATTAATATTATAAATTTACAATATTTGTTTTATATTATATGATATTATAATTATAATATATTTTTGTAAAAACTAAAGGGTCTCATCTCTACCAAAACACCGACAGTTGGGTTGGGCTGAGTTAGGTTCCGCCGGTTCACTTGTCTGATTACAATTACAGAAAGAAAATAAAAAATTTTGAAAAGGAAAGGGTCCAAAAAATAATAAGCAGAGAGAGAGGTCTTTTTTGCAGTTTTGGATTCCGACACCCAACAAACGACACATCAGGCGGCCCACGCGCGCTTCAACTCAACGCGCTTCTAAGCTTTTTTGGTCTTTCCGCAAATAGACCCAACTTTTTCAAGGAAATTGATGGGAAGAATGTCATTTTAATATTTTTCTTTGCCCAATAGAGGGAAAGAATGCTAGTATCTACTTTTCTTTATTTTCATTCACGTGCTGTCAATTCCAACGAGCAAAGAAACCATTATGCAAAAAAGATATCATTAGTTATAGGCAGAAGTTTCCAGTAAGCCTATAAACTTAGGATAAATTAAGTATATTATCTTTTGCAAAATTAAGAATACCATTTACATGCACTTAAAGTTCGTGATCTAATAATTATATATTTTATGGTAAAATATACCCTCTAAGTTTAGATTTAGAGCTCGAATTCTCCTTCTCAAAAATTATAATTTGTTCAAAAAAAAAAATGCCATCTACATAAGTAGATAATATATATTGACCTATATTTTATCAAAATTGTGCACATGTTGCACGATTATAAAATCAATAGCTGTAATATAATGCTATACAAATGAGTCTCGCTCATATTTCATTGCATCTCCAAATTAAAATACAAAATTCTAACCTAATAAAAAAAAAA